TGGACACCCCTCAAAATCGTCCGAATCTCGTCGAAGTGGGATCTTCCCCTCCCTGTAACGAATACGCGCCAAGTATAGTGGACACCTCTCAAAATCGTCCGAAACTTGTCGAAGTAGGATCTTCCTTTCCCAAGAAACGAATGCGTGCCAAGTATAGTGGACACACCCCAAAATTGTCCGAATCTCGTCGAAGCGGGATCTTCCTCTCCCTAGAAACGAATGCGTGCCAACAATAGTGGACACCCCGCAAAAAGGTCCGAATATCGTTGAAGCGGAATCTTGACCTCCCAAGAAACGAAAGCGTGCCAAGTATAGTGAACACCGATCAAAATCGTCCGAATCTCGTTGAAGCGGGATCTTCCCCTGCCTAGAAACGAATGCGTGCTAAGTATAGTGGACACCCCGCAAAATCGTCGTAATCTCGTCGAAAATGGATCTTCGCCTCCTCTTTAAGGAATGCGTGCCAAATATAGTGGACACCCCCCAAAAACGTCCGAATCTCGTCGAAGCTGGATCTTCACCTCAATGGAAAACGAATGCGTGCCAAGTATAGTGGACACCCGGCAAAATCGTCTGAATCTCGTGGAAGCGGGATCTTCCTCTCCCTAGAAATGATTGCGTGCCAAGTATAGTGGACACACCGCAAAATCGTCGGATTCTCGTCGAAGCGGGATCTTCCTATCCCCTGTAACGAATGCATGCTAAATATTGTGGACACCCTGCAAAATCGTCGGAATCTCATTGAAGCTGGATCTTCACTACTCTGAGAAACGAATCCGCGCCAAGTATAGTGGACACCCCGCAAAATCGTTGGAATCTCGTCGAAAATGGATCTTCGCCTCCTTTTAAAGGAATGCGTGCCAAATATAGTGGACATCCCGAAAAATCGTTGCAATCTCGTCGAAGCAGGATCTTCCTCTCCCTAGAAACGAATGCGTGCCAAGTATAGTGGACACCCCTCAAAATCGTCCGAAACTTGTCGAAGTAGGATCTTCTTTTCCCAAGAAACGAATGCGTGCCAAGTATAGTGGACACACCCCAAAATTGTCCGAATCTCGTCGAAGCGGGATCTTCCTCTCCCTAGAAACGAATGCGTGCCAATAATAGTGGACACCCCGCAAAATCGTCGGAATCTGGTCGAAGCAGGATCTTCCTCTCCCTAGAAACGAATGCGTGCCAAGTATAGTGGACACCCCGCAAAATCGTCGGATTCTCGTCGAAGCGTGATCTTCCTATCCCCTGTAACGAATGCATGCTAAATATTGTGGACACCCTGCAAAATCGTCGGAATCTCATTGAAGCTTGATCTTCACTACGCTGAGAAACGAATCCGCGCCAAGTATAGTGGACACCTCTCAAAAACGTCCGAATCTCGTCGAAGCGGGATCTTCCTCTCCCTACAAACGAATGCGTGCCAAGTATAGTGGACACCCCGCAAAATCGTCGGAATCTCGTCGAAGCGGGATTTTCCTCTCTCTAGAAACGAATGCGTGCCAAGTATAGTGGACACTCCGCAAAATCGTCGTAATCTCGTGGAAAATGGATTTTCGCCTCCTCTTTTACGAATGCGTGCCAAATATAGTGGACATCCCGAAAAATCGTTGGAATCTCGTCGAAGCTGGATCTTCACCGCAATGGAAAACGAATGCGTGCCAAGTATAGTGGACACCCCTCAAAATCGTCCGAATTTAGTGGAAGCGGGATCTTACTATCCCCTGTAACGAATGCATGCTAAATATTGTGGACACCCTGCAAAATCGTCGGAATCTCATTGAAGCTGGATCTTCACTACGCTGAGAAACGAATCCGCGCCAAGTATAGTGGACACCTCTCAAAAACGTCCGAATCTCGTCGAAGCGGGATCTTCCTCTCCCTACAAACGAATGCGTGCCAAGTATAGTGGACACCCCGCAAAATCGTCGGAATCTCGTCGAAGCGGGAATTTCCTCTCTCTAGAAACGAATGCGTGCCAAGTATTGTGGACAATCCGGAAAATCGTCATAATCTCGTGGAAAATGGATTTTCGCCTCCTCTTTTACGAATGCGTGGCAAATATTGTGGACACCCTGCAAAATCGTCGGAATCTCATTGAAGCTGGATCTTCACTACGCTGAGAAACGAATGCGTGCCAAGTATAGTGAACACCGATCAAAATCGTCCGAATCTCGTTGAAGCGGGATCTTCCTCTGCCTAGAAACGAATGCGTGCTAAGTATAGATGACACCCCGCAAAATCGTCGTAATCTCGTCGAAAATGGTTCTTCGCCTCCTCTTTAAGGAATGCGTGCCAAATATAGTGGACATCCCGAAAAATCGTTGGAATCTCGTCGAAGCAGGATCTTCACCTCAATGGGAAACGAATGCGTGCCAAATATAGTGGACATCCCGAAAAATCGTCCGAATCTCGTCGAAGCGGGATCTTACTATCCCCTGTAACGAATGCATGCTAAATATTGTGGACACCCTGCAAAATCGTCGAAATCTCATTGAAGCTGGATCTTTACTACGCTGAGAAACGAATCCGCGCCAAGTATAGTGGACACCTCTCAAAAACGTCCGAATCTCGTCGAAGCGGGATCTTCCTCTCCCTACAAACGAATGCGTGCCAAGTATAGTGGACACCCCGCAAAATCGTCGGAATCTCGTCGAAGCGGGGATTTCCTCTCTCTAGAAACGAATGCGTGCCAAGTATTGTGGACAATCCGGAAAATCGTCATAATCTCGTGGAAAATGGATTTTCGCCTCCTCTTTTACGAATGCGTGGCAAATATTGTGGACACCCTGCAAAATCGTCGGAATCTCATTGAAGCTGGATCTTCACTACGCTGAGAAACGAATGCGTGCCAAGTATAGTGAACACCGATCAAAATCGTCCGAATCTCGTTGAAGCGGGATCTTCCTCTGCCTAGAAACGAATGCGTGCTAAGTATAGATGACACCCCGCAAAATCGTCGTAATCTCGTCGAAAATGGATCTTCGCCTCCTCTTTAAGGAATGCGTGCCAAATATAGTGGACATCCCGAAAAATCGTCGGAATCTCGTCGAAGCTGGATCTTCACCTCAATGGAAAACGAATGCGTGCCAAGTATAGTGGACACCCCGCAAAATCGTCGGAATCTCGTCGAAGCGGGATCTTCCTCTCCCTAGAAATGAATGCGTGCCTAGTATAGTGGACACACCGCAAAATCGTCGGATTCTCGTCGAAGCGGGATCTTCCTATCCCCTGTAACGAATGCATGCTAAATATTGTGAACACCCTGCAAAATCGTCGGAATCTCATTGAAGCTGGATCTTCACTACTCTGAGAAACGAATCCGCGCCAAGTATAGTGGACACCTCTCAAAAACATCCGAATATCGTCGAAGCGGAATCTTGACCTCCTTAGAAACGAAAGCGTGCCAAGTATAGTGTACACCAATCAAAATCGTCCGAATCTCGTTGAAGCGGGATCTTCCTCTGCCTAGAAACGAATGCGTGCCAATTATAGTGGACACCCAGCAAAATCGTCCGAATATTTTTTTATTATTTTGCATTTGGATGGTGCACACCGCTGGAGTTCAAAGGCCACTAGGCACGGAGAAATCCAACGCAATACTGCAGAGGATCAGGAAAATTATTTTTTTTTTATGACAAGAGGGTGGGGGAGAGACTCGAGCAGCAAGTCAGTCTTCCCGTGGCAGAACTGCTACCTTCTTTCTCCATTCGCATAAAAATCTATTGTCTGGACGTGGAATTGATATTTCTGGATCCTAGAGCCTTTTCTCAGTGCATAATTGGCAAGCGAGTACTATTTCCTACCTCTTTCGGCTCATCCCAAAAAATTTCAATGCAGATTTATCGGTCCTAACCGAGGATTATTTGAATCCGGACTCACTTCTGCCCGGAATCACTCCTTGCGGATCCTGTTCAGCACTGTCTTCGTTTCTTCTCACCGCGATTCACGCTTGCGTCATCAATCCCCATGTGTGAATCGCGGTGGCAGAAATGCGTCTACCTCAAAGGGGACTACGAGGAGAAGGTTCATGCTGATCCACAAGATGACTGAATGCGTTGTCAGAAAAAAAGGGAAAATTGCAACATTATAATACTCAAATCCTAGTATCGCGGGTTCCAGAATATTCCAGATTCCAGTGGGCTACCTGTATGCAGGAGCCACATCAGATAGAGCCATTTGTTTAGGCCTACATCTCTTTAAGGTAGAGTGTGCAAAACAATCCAGTGGCGGTGACGTAATGACGTCTTAATTAATTCAGTAGGAGTAGGGTTAGAGATGCATTGACTTCTGGGACGTCCTGTTATTTGATCAATTTATAGAAAATTACGCTTCAAAATCTTGCAGAAAATAAAAATTTGTAGGTTAAATTTAGAAATGTATCGATCCAAATTAGAAGGAATGCATCGGAGAAGCCTGGAATACATGAAATTCCTAGGTTCCATGGGTTCATACCGGACCAATCTCTCAGCCACGAGGGGAAAAAAAAACCAGTTCGCTGAGGTAGCTTTTGCCTGACTCCTTACCTCGGGGCAAAGGGGAGGGGAGGTGAGGGGCGAAAGGAGAGAGGAGACGGAGTTTTAGTCTATGCCCCTACCCTCCAGGCTGAACGTAGAGTAAGGCCTACAGTAACGCCTCTGCTCTTGTGCGTGCCGGATCGCTCTCGTCCTCAAGCGTGGACCCAACTGCAGCAAACATCGCAAGAATCTTCTGCTCTTTCCTTCCTAACTTGTCATTTATTTACTTATATTTTCCTACTGATTAATAAGGTACTTATTCACCATTCCATACATTTTGCCTGCCTTCCTTTTGCACCTTTTGATTTATATTCCTATTTCCAAGTTACTGCGAAAAAATCACTTTATTGCCACTTCCATTGCACTTAAGAAGTTTTAATATTCCTCCTTCTACTTGCTCCTTAACGTCTTTGCCTTCTCTGTTCATCGGCTCGCTGTCACTTATACAATACGTTTCTTGAAATTTCTTCAAATTTTCATCGCATTTACTCTCTGATTTCCTATACCTTTGTTTCATAGCGACTACCGCAGGCTTGCTGGAAGCGGACTAGTTCTTTCGCTTAATCCTAATCCTTAATCTGAAGTAGGCCTAAGTGCATTTCCTAGCGCAACTGACGTCAGTAGGAGGGCTAGGTGTATACCATGAACGAAATGGACGTTTCGTTCACCTCTACCAGCGGACGCGAACAGCTTGGAGATCAGCCCTCATCATCCCGTAAGTTATGCGGTCGTTGCCTTATCATTTCTCATAAGATATCCATAGAATACAGAGGAGCCGGAAAGTTTCCTTAAAAAAAAAAAAATTTTATGTAAAGACCATGGATTTAGGTCGTTCCACAACCTTGAATGCAGTGTGCAGTCGTTGAACAGTTCCCAAAATGATTGACGCAGAGCATCAATGCAAAGGGCAATCAGGTGGAAAATATTATATTAATATTAAAATTGTCTTCTATACTTTTCCGTTAAAATTTATTTTGTCATTGTTGCTTTGGCTACATATATTTTATTTTTAAAGTGTCCGTAAACTTTCTAGTCACCCTGTAAATACAGCATTTTGAAAGTTCTCTCCCAAACGCACCATAAATGGGAAATGTGAGCTTTTCAAGGGTATCCTGTAATCGCGTTAAAATGAGGTTGCTGCTTGGCTTGCTGCTCATTTGAATAATTTTGCATCTTATTTGTTTAGTGTGTGAGCTCCTCGCTTTCCGAGACAAATGGGTGTTCTTTTCCGCTATTGAAAAAGAAATGTTTCTCATGGTTGGTGAGAACAAGGACAAAGATGGGAAGCGCCTCAAGGTCAAGGGAGGAAAGAGAGAATATCCTGCCATCAAAGCTGCCAAATTGCATCCAAACCATGACCACATCGAGGTAAATGCCTAAGTCTGATAATTAGAAAATTGTCATGTTTTTGGGTTAAAATTGTGGTACTTGTAGAAACTCTTTCTTGTAGAACTTCTCCTTTCTCTTATTGACCCTCTCAATGTTGACGTTAAATTTAGAAGAAAGCGTGCAATCGTTATTGTTTTCATCCTCATGGAAAATGCGATGAATTGTACATATGAATAGGCTTCTAGTAAACATTATTTTATTTTTTCTGCAGTTGGTGTTTGAGGGAATTCAGAGATCTGTTGCCGTCCCCAGGAGTCGAATCACCGGGAGCAACAAGATCACTTCTGCAATAGTAAAAGAGTATATTCAAACAAGACGTCTTGAAGGTTTGGTGAAGGCCATTAACCGAGTCCTTGTGGTTGTTCAAAGAGGGCAGCAATTGGCTTCTATCAGCATAGGAAATGACAACCAGTAAGTAATTTCTATTAAACTCCCATAATTTTTTGTTTTATTTTCATTATTACAGTATGTCGAATTTATTTCCAAGGTATTTCGAGAAGTGGTTGATCTCATGTAAAAAGTTTGCAAGGCTAATTTTTTTTCTTGGCCCCCGCCTTTACATTCCAAAACAATGGTTCATGCACTTATTGCAGTGGAATCGACAAATGCTTTAGCTGGATTCGTAAAGACTAAGCAAAGAGAGAAACACGTGCGATCATTTTGTTTCCCTCCTTTCATGTGTCCATTCCGGAATTTTTTGTTTTCCATGAAGAGTGGAAAAATTTGCGTAAATTTATATCCCTGAATTAAGCAATTTCTTGCATGTTTCGCAACGAATTTATTTCCATCATTCTAGACGCCAGTCCTGCAGTACTACGTATGCCTCTCAACGCTCGGAAATATCAGTTCCGTTCGTTTCGCCGGTGTTTCCTCCATCACAGACGGAAGTCACGCCCATCCTTGAGGCAAATCCGGAGTCGAGCATGAGACAAACCTGTAGGAAAGGGATTAGAGCGAGAGAGGACTCCGAGCCTAGAACAAAGAAGAGGAAGGCATCTGCTACTTCTTGGAGTCGAGCAAGTCTTGAATCCTGTTATCGCGGTGCGTTTTGTTTCGCATTCTGTGAACAAATTTGTGAAACACCTGGGATTTGAAACACGGACTAGATTCAATTACTTGAACCGAATTTTTCTTTGAATTGCAATAATACTCGTTCAGAAAGATCCATCTTTAAACGAACTTCTTAGAATCCAATTTTTTATTTTGCACTGAGAACGGTAATATTTTATCTACTGCAGGGAATCACGAGATTAATTTTTCTCTTCTCGAGCTGAGTGCTTCTGCTGCAAGGTCATTCTCCACAGAGAAAAAAAAACCTCCTGAAGGAGAAACTGACCGCAGAAGGTGAAGACAAAGGGTGCCAACTACCCATCGTCGTGGCTTCCAGTCCAAGTTCGAATTCCTTCAATGTCGGCTATGTAAGTTCATCGCCTTCATGATAGTGAATTCCAGAGAGTTAATATTTATAGTATGGTACGTGACGATGAACGAATTTTCTTGCCACAGCTTCACGCCTACAAGTACGAGGTAATAGCCGGCCAGCACATTGTCCAGGCACGGAAGGAGATCGCCCAGGAAACGGGAAAGGGCAAAGATACTTGCACATGCGCAATCTACTGGGGTTTGACCGAGGAAGGAAAGAGGATGCTGGCACTTCATAACGCCAAGCTACAAGGAGTCCCCTATGATGCCCTTGACGTAGTGAGAAATCTTTTAGCTTCTAGCGAATTTTGAAAGAATTGTTCAAGAACTTTGAAATTCTGGGGAAGGATAACCTTTCCCCTTCATTTCATGAAGCAGTTTAGTTTTTGCATTATATATTTGTTCGTTTTCCAATAACACATCGTGCATGGTTATCTCTAATTAGCTGGAGAAATATGAAGAACTTCGAGAAACCATGGAGAATGAATCTGAAATCCACGCATCTTATGATGAGATCCTGAAAGTGAGTTGAAATATAGTCTCCCTCACGCTGCCCGCTATATCTTGTTTCACAGCCTGACATTTCGTCTCTGATCTATGTAAAATATCAGAAATTCTGTATAATCGTGGAATATTTTTTAATAAGGCCTCATGCTGTATGATTTGTCTGGCTTTTTAAAGTTTACTGCATATTCTGTACTTTCTGTATATTTTAATCCTTGCACCATCCTCACAAGGATAAAAAGAAGCATCAGGTCCTGAAGAACATTCCAAATGGGGTCCGAGGCAGTGCAAGGATTCCTGACCGTAGCAAGGGAGTTAGAGACGAAAGAGCCCGGCTGCATCGACAAGAGACTCTATCATCTACGACATCTGGGGAATCCCTGCATAACCACAAATGATTTCCTGGTATTTTATGATTTTATACCGATCCTGATTTTTCTTTTTCCTTTTCAATAATCTCTACAAACCTGAGTGAAGGTTTATGAACTGAAATAATGAGTGACATGAATGATGGAAAACAATATCTGCTTGATGTGAAAAATTGCAGCAGGCAACTTCTTGCGACGAATATTAAAGATCCGGAATAATGGTACAAAATAAATAACTTGGAACTTCAGAGATGGCATAGACTCATTAATGCAATTTCCCTTTTTTTTGACAAACCATGATCTAAAATTAAACTGCAGGTAGACTGAATTCATAATTTAATATTACAGGAACACATGAAAATCCTGAGACGGGAAGTGACATGAAAGAATTTGCAGACAAACTACAGGAAGTTATCCAAAGGAAGACCCTGATTAGATCCTTTGCAAGGTATTGCAGTTTCCTACTTCAGCACTTACCAAAGGATCCGTACCCCATAGGTTAAAGGAGACCAGTCGTTACGATCCCAAAATTTTGAAGAAAAAAAAATTAGAACAAATAATTCTATGTAAAATATGGCAATCGCTTCATTGTTACTTCAGCATGTTGTGAACTTGAAAATTGCTGTGTGCAGCTTTTGATCTTTACATAACGCTTCATTTTTAGCGTGTAACTTTCATTGGTATGGAGGAAGAACAAGTTTTGCGTTGGAGACATCATGCATGCAGCAGAGGTTCGTGAGTCTCTCAGAAGGTATGACTTAAAAATTGATGCGGCTATTTTGCAGGGGGAACATCGTGAAGGTGAGTAATTGGTTTCATAATGGCAATACAAGTTTCTTTGTTGGTGGCTTTAACTCTTTTATTCCAGGAGAACTCTTCAAGCACCATCATTCCTATGCTGTTATCGGAGCCAGACACAAGATTGACCTTCCATCATATGTGCTCACAAGGAAGGAGTTCCTGCAATCCTTCCATGAACCAAACTGCTGGCTCTTGTCAAACATCCGAGGGTCGAGTAAGTTTAAATCATGACAGTCCTGGTGATTGGCCATATATGTTGGCTGGTCGTGCATCGCAATTAATTGTGAAAAATTTGCATCACTCCACAATTTCAGGAAAAGAAGAACTTCCTCTTCACTCGAAGCTGGTCACCCTTGTAGATTTGAAGTTGGAGTCAGAGGAAGGTGGTGATGATTCGCGACGGTCCGTGGAACGTCTTCCGGGCTTTCAACCGGAAACGCAAATCGAGTCAGTAAATTTTTAAATTCATTTTCTGCATGAATCGAGCTGCATCATATATATGTGATTGCATATGACTTTGAATGGCAATGAATGTGGGAGAGGAGACATTGGAAAACTTCGACCTTGAAATGTCACCAGATATTCCAGAAGACTCTCAGTGATCCTTTGTACTTACCACCCAGCGCCTCCCAAAGTTACGGAACACGATAAGTTTCAGATTCTCTAAACGATTGCGGCATTGCCTATGTTTGTAATTATGAACTTATTCTCACATTTCTCCCTACTGTAGCACAAGTACAGGAATCGGTTTTGCAGTCCATGGAAAGGAAAGTATCTCTTCGATTTGCTTTTTCATTACCATTGCAATAACGTGTACTTTGTTTACCGATGTTCATGTTTCTTTTTTCCCTCTGCCGAGCTGACATGGGAAATGTGAATAATCGACCCCGAGTTTGAGCCGTTCAATAGACCTGTAGTTTCCGTGACAGTACCTTCAATAGAAGTTATATGTCAAAATATCAGGTTCTTCCTAGTAAATTACACAGTGAGAGGGATTATACATATGTTGTTGATTCGCAGGGTGGAGTGGTGATGAGCCGAAAACATTGCATTTGGAGTTAATCGTGAGATGTGGAGTTCCTTCACAAATAGCCTCCCGACTTCTTTGATATTCCATGGATGTGAATAGTGTGGGTGATTACTATAGGGTGTTCATGAATTTCTCCTATCGTTCCAAAATACGCCTTGGTTGTCAAGTCATGTAATCAGACATAAATGTTTTTTCCCCCGATTATTGCCGTGCACACGTGGCAAAACTCTTCCTTTCCGTTTTTGGTATGAAAAGCAATTTCCTTTCCTATGACAGTGGAGATGGAGAGTCACCGTAGGCAGAAGCAGAGCTCACCGAGGAAAACTGTGATTAATTTCATCGACGTGTTTATACAAATGAATCGTGCGATTCAACTGTCTTTGAATAAGTGGATCTCTTGTGTGTCATTAAACTCGATGCTGCCAAGTGTTTAAGACGTCATCGCGTATATCGGTAGCTAAGAAGATTGTGAGATAGTCCATTTTAGAAAAATTCACCGCCGCGCCCCTCCTTTTTCTCTTCTCATGTGATGCATTGTCTTGTTTCGTGTAACGATTTCATTTGTGGCTTATTGCTTTTCCAGTCGATACATACATATAAACGGATGAAATTGCATGTCAGATGTTCCAGATGTCATGGGAGGTTCGGCAGGAGGTCGAAATGGAGTTACATTCTTTTCTTTCAAGGATCGTCTGTGCTTCAAGCTCAGCATGAGGACAGCTCTGTCCATTGTTTCCTAGTTTCGATTGCTAGGCACGTGACCAGACGATCCGACAGTGACAGGAATTGCTGGCCACCATGCTGTCGTATAAATGTGAGCTGATCCTCGTTGACTGGCATCATTTCATTCGGGAGCACCTGTACCGCCAACTGGAAAACACACCTTCGATGGGCGACCCTTGGCAGGTCGTGCAAATTGATGAGAGCTGTTTCCTGTTCGCGTTCTTCAAGCCTATACTATTCTGTCCAGAGGCGTTCATTCTCGGAGAATTTTCTTGTTTGACGGGTCGACGCAAGAACAAGGGGAAATTGATGGCTGGCAACAATTTTCACCCCGCTCGTCAGAACTACGGTAATCGGGTCGTTTGTCCTCGAGTATTCGGGATGGTGTGGAAGCATGGATTCTCCGAAACTCGTCCTTTCCTTGCGGAAAGACGAGATCGGAGAACCCTGCTTCCCATCATCCTGGAGCATATTTTGGTAGGGACCACGATCCGATCGGACGAGAGGGGGGGGTGGGGGGGAGGGTACCAGGGGCTGTACCGGTAGAGGTTCACGCTTGAAACCGTGAATCACTCCGAAAATGTTGTGTACCCAATTAACCGGCATGGATGTAGATTCCTTGGGTGTATTTCGACCTGGAAGACCATCGAAGAGTGCTGGTACTTTCCCTAGGTGCTAACACACTAAGAATAGAAAGCTCCAGGGCGGTCTTGAAGACAAGAATATTGAAGAGAGGGAGGGGGACACGAATAGCCCTTCTGCAAAACCACCTGGCGGAGCTTACACAAAAACGCACCATTTCTCGACCTTTTAGATGTAATGCAGGAGCAATACCCCCAATGAGGAGAGAATTTTATAATTTTGACAATTTTTTTTCCTGACATTCCTTTTAACCCTGACTGATTTGATACTTTTCATTTTTCGCCTTTTACGGTTCTGGACAATTTTTTTCGGCAATTTATGCTATTTCCTGTGTTGGAACTCGATGATTTTCAGTGCCTTCCTCTTAGATTTCGCTTTTATGCTTAATGCTTCCTTGCCCATTAATTCTTGCATTACTCTTGCTCATGTGAATTCCCGTTTCCTGCTGAAATCACAACGTGGGTGAGACACTTTTTCCGGAAATGAATTTCCTGTTACCTACATTTCGTTCTTTCCGATAAGAACATGACCTCTCCTAACTCTCCGGCTTCCATGTGAGTAGCGACATCGACAGAAATTAGTGTGGAACTATAGTCATTTCGAATTTGGTTAGATGGCGCTGCCATCACCGCGTACGGGTTTATGGACTTGTACGCGTACGCTAGTACAGCGTGCTCCAGGCACACCTGCTTAGGGCCTAGTATGTCAAGTAGCATAGCGACATGTGTGCACGTGATGTAGTCTAAGCAGAACTCAGTGTGCATAGTGGTATGCAAAACGTATAATACCCGCATAGCCCTCAGTCGACTTGGAGAAATTTGAGCACCGGGCCGTGTTTCCATACCTTTTTCTGAAGGTCTCACGTGCGAAAGATATCTAAGCTGATATGCTGCAGACGTAATTAAATGACGCACCGATGCACTCTGCCCACAGTTTGTAGTCCATCGGGATCAAGTCGGGGCTTCCAGATGGCGAAGCTGTTACCCTGATGAACTGGAGGACATTGTTGGTTAGCCATTCCTGCTTCGTCTTAGCCTAATGAGAAGGTGCAAAGTCTTGCTGGAAGATCCAGTTGCCCTCATTGAACATTGTTTGGCCGAGAGTCTTCACAGTCTTCCTGATACTCTTCGGCCGATTTCTTCACTCCTTGATCGCAAAAATGCGGCTTGGTGACTCCCTCACAGCTCATCCACCCACCAAGCCTTTAACGGAAGCAGGATGGTGACCTCTCTCCACCTCATGGATGACTTCGGCAGTTTCCCGAAAGTTGTGGGCATACATTTTGTCATTTTGTCTGTTCGAATTTTCTTCAAATGTGATTTTCTCATCAGTAAAGAGGACTTTTTGGTTTCTGTTTTGCGCGTACCTATGCAGCAACACTTTCGATCGCGATCTCCTGATTTCTTCCAGAGATGGAGTCAGCATGTGCTCTGTGCTTAGGTCTGATTTGATAAGCCGAGACATGCTCCTAGACGAGATGGCCATTTCCCTGGCCATCACGTTATGCTTGTGGAGAGAATTTCGCCGAATCCTGTTGCTGTTTTTGATGACTCGTGGTGCTCTGGCAGTGAATAGACGTCCAGATCTAGGGCGGTCTCGTATTTCCTGATTATCATTGTGAGGTTTGATGGAATCAGGTGGCAGTTTCTTTACTGAGCGAAGTGGCTGCAAAGTCTTGAAAATGGTTCATGGTTTCTGACCCACTTTGTGCAGGGCAATCACTGCAATGCGATTCTCTTTGTCACCACACTCCATGATTTATTGCACGCAACACAACAGCCAAAATGTTACCAAACAATAAGATGGATAATATACTGCAGGATTAATGGGTTACAAGGTTCTAGTTTCTTTTGCTAGAATGCAAGGAACATGTAAATCTTGTTGAAGTATATTTTGGCAGATATAGATACATTATTTCAATAGAGAACGTGGAGAAAGACATTTGAATTCCTAAAAGCAATAGTTCGATGAGGTAAACCAGTTTATGAAAACTCCTGACCCTCGGCATGGAGTGCCGAAGAGGGATCATTGGCAAGCTCAGTTTTCAACTTCCTCTTCACTGTTCTTGCACTTTATTGGTGTGAAGGACGTGGGATCACGTCGGGGACCCTGATTTCACAAAAGTATCCAGATCTCAGATCGGTGCATGTAGGAGGTTCCACCCAGTTCCCGTAAGTGTACGGTGCCACCCAAATAAACTTATAGGTCACCACGAGGCATCCCTCCCCATAATCCGGTTCGTTCGGATGGAAGTGACCTTGACCTTTGGCAGTAATAGTCACATTTGTGCCTGGAAGGAAAGAGACAGATCTATCAGAGCACGAATAATTACTTATAATTGTATCAAGAAGCCCTCGTCATTCGTTCTCGAGACATCATCATCTCAATGAGAAAAGAATACCATCTATGCCTTCTCTGAGTCAAGAAGACGACGTTTACTATCGCCTTGCGAGGAACTTTAACAGCCCTAAAAATTACACAGCTCGTCTCACTCGTCAAAAAGGTACTTTAAACACTCATTCAATCTACTTCGAATGATTCATCGAGAGGAATCTTATTCCCGTCTGTTTTTTACTCTCATCTTGCAATTTCAAAGTGGAGCTCTACAGGAAGTTTCGTTTAGTTGAATCGCAAAGAGCAACACTATACATTAACGTAATAAGAAGCTACAAGGTATGATATAATAAAGTAACTTGGACGATTTTCATGATAGACCAACTGATTACGATACTCCAGTTTCCTTATATCCTTGATAAGAAAGGGATTTGTCATGAAAAATTATACAAGACAAATAAGAATGCACGCAATCACGCTAGCTTATCTTCTCTCATGCCTGACACGTACGCCCACAAAGGTTGATGCAGATGAAAATGAGGTTTCATTTTTAACTTCTTTGTTCTCCAAGAATAAATAATTTCTTCACGAGCAAACTTTCCCTATTTTACCGAATTTCATATACGCCTTCACCTCTTGCGGTCATGTTCTCGAGGCTTCTTGAATTCATTCGCGTTATCGGCGGAAGCGATTTATCTTCGGGCTCAACAGACAGCTTCAATCAACGCGTGGTTGACTTTCAATACCTTTGCATCTCTCGGAATGATTTCATGCTCTCATAACTATAGCCTCCTTGAACGTTTTAAGATCGATCTTACAGAGCTCAGAGATCAATGAGTGAATATAATCTGAGCATAAACCCACCGTCCCTGAAAAACCAAACAAAGTGGTTCGGTGGAAAGGCCTTCCCATCGACCCAGAAGTTGTAGTAGGTAGTGGTGAGCTTCGCTGCGTTCTCCATCATGGTCTTGTTGAGGTAGTTGTGCACGGGTTCCTGGTTGGGGATGGCGAGGCCAGCGCCGTCCTTCTCGCACTCCGTCTTCGCTTGTGCAGAGGTCTTCGTCGTGTCCAACACGATCTTCACGTAGCTCTTTGTTCCTGGCACCAAGTTGTAGCCTTCCGGAAAGTTCATGATATGTCATTTTTAAAGCCAGGGTGGATTGGAATTAGAATTATTGAAATAAGTCAGTTTAGTAACTATCTGTAAACTATCAAAAGGCAAGTGTTCCATGAAAATTTTGAAGTTTCGTGTAGTTTCCCGAGCCACGCCACTGAAACAACTGGTACCACGATGTTCCCTCACATGGTCAGCATCGTTCACCTTACGAATGAATTTGAGGTGATTTGTAATCGTCCTTCTGTCTTTTTAATTTCTAAACTTATTTCCATGAAATTAAATTCAACTCCAAAATTTTTACAGAAGATTGAAGGAATACGTTCGTGAAATCCTCAACATTTTCAAGGTCACATCACCAAGACAAAGAATGACGATGGGACGAACACCGAGTCAATTGGAGACCACAGAGATAACAGCAGACTGAAGCGGATTCGAAAGAAATCGAATAAATTTGATGGTTATACCCCATGATTAGGGGTAATACAGGAATTGCAAGGAATATTTCCCGCCAATAATATCATAAAAACGCCGATTTTTCAACCGTTAGCGAGCTCAGAGGAGATCACTAATTAGGAGACTCATTCACATTGCACACTTTTTTTTTAAACTGGAACTGTGTATTAGATGAACATTTACCTGGTGGCACATCGGTGAAGAAGAACTCGCTGTCGGGATCTGCAATCCTCGTCGGGTCGTACGCGCCACCCAACCGACACGTCGCCAGTCCTGCAGACTTTGTGATGGAGTAGCTGTAGCACGTCGTTTCGCTGAAAGTGCAACAAATTCCGTTGTCCAGGTGCATCATGCTAATCGTATTCTATCGTTCGTCGACGTGTGAAAAAAAATGGATTTAGGCGGACGGATAGAGTGAATGATTTCATTTCATATTAGATAATCTAATAAAATCTGCGCCAGTCTCTGGTAATTTTGTAGTGATTTATATGTATCGGTGAGCTTTGGATCTACTCATGAAGGCAAAATACGGGAAACACCTCCAAACATTCAATTCCATGTGACGTTGTCGACGAGAATATTTGAAAGTCGTCCTGGGTCGACTCACCTGAGGCAAGCCATGGTGCATTGCAGGCCCGATAGAACAGGAAACTCACGAATGGGGGATAAAATCTTCATTTTCGCGACCGTCGGGGCGTAAAAGTTCCCCGAATTGATGGCCGCCATTGCAGTCAAGAAGAAACTGATCGAGATGCAGAAGAGGAGCTTCATCATCCTTCGACGCGGATCGTTGGGCGGCTGCAGCGTGAGTGGCAGCGAATACAGTGTACCAAGTATACAAATACCTTTTGTGCTCTCGATTCTGGCTTCGAGGTCCCATCAGTCGTCGTCGTGTTTGTGTAATGACGTCAACCTGCGTGGTATAGACCTTCACTCAATAACGCACCGATCGAGCAATTAATCCGCCAATCCACACTATAGTATTCCAGATTTACGAAAAGGTTCATTATACCACGTCGATCGTTAGCAAGTAATATGAGCAGCTTGAACACTAGAATCCGTGACAGGGATCTTTGGAACTCGTGACGTTCCATTCGAAAGTTGTTTAGCTCATGGAAGACCAGATTCATAGGTTCCTTCCTCGTGCATTCCCTCGATAATTTCAATGTTCTGTTAAAAGCTTAACTGCTTCTTGTTATATGGGCATGGGATTCCAAGGACCCGATCGGGAAATATTTAATATTAGGATGCATAGACTAGTTCATTTACATAAGAAGACAAATGAGATTAAACCCTTCGGATCATCTGATCACGCGTGCGTGGTTACCTGGTGATCATTTTCCCGCTTTTACGAGCTGTCCCAAATTCATCGTTGAGTCATGGCCAGTCATTGACATCGTGTAATGCATATGTTTCCTGCAACTTTTCAACTAGGTTAGAGCAAATTCATGAAATAAATCATTCCGAGGAGCTAAAAGTGCTCTATCGAATGCTCCACTTTGACGCTTGAAAAAGTAAAAGCATGAATGGAAGACGATCGTTTCGTTCCAGCACGAAAGAGCGTCCTGGTTTCTGAGATGGCGAAGCGCCGTCGTCGGATGGCCCTTTATACTCGTAGTGACTGCTTTACACAAGGAACGATATAATTTCATCGCTCTCATGTCGATTAAAAGTTTCGACTCTGTAGAAGATCGTTCGTTCCAGATCGTTTTCTTGGAAAAAAAAAAGTATCATGGATGCATGCTGTACCCGAATGATGCTACAATTCATGATCTGCCCCCCCCCCCCCCCCAAAGTTTTGTGAATTCTTGACAAGAGGCAGTCGAACTTGGGAATGTCATCCATCTCAAAAAGAAGAAAAACTGGTGATAACATCGAAATCTCCATTAGAAATTGCGGTCATTTCTTTAAATGACTTCGGTCATTTTCGACGCACGGAATCAGGCAGGCATGAAAGAATTTCCTTGTCGATTCTGGTTTCGAGGGCATCCAATCAGAACGAGACTTTTTGCTCCGTTTTGGCACATATGAGATTTACTCGATTCGACACGTGAGAAAACGTTGATCCTCTTCTACCAAAGGCAAAATTTCAATTTGCGACCGATGCGCGGGGAGCCGAGAATTGTTAAAGGTGACCCGAAGTACGTAAGATTCTGTGTCGTATGGCAAGTTGACCATAATTTCGATTCCCAGATAAGATCCCGTCCGTTTACGGCCTGGATCATTATGAATAATATAAAAGCAACGGTACCCAATTACTGGAGTCCCAAGACCTTTTGCCAGGCCCCAGTGCCATCGATTGCTGCTCGTTAGACCAGCGGAAAATAGGTTACTTACGAACACGAACGCATATATCACGAGCATATATCAAAATCCTCCTTTTTGCTCTGACGAAAACATACCCGGTAATCAATAAACAGCATGACGAAATTGCGAAGAAACCCTTTCTAAGAGGGTAACAGTGTGTTAGATTGCACAGGATGAGGAAGCATTCACTTTGTATATCTCCTCACGAGGAAGAAGTGACCGCGTGTATACAACCAGATGGTATCAGTAGCCTAGAATACAGATTGGAAAACATGGCAGGTGAGAGGCAAGTCGTTCTACATAGTGGAGGTGGAGCACATGCCCAGCCCTGGCAAGTAAAGTCCAGCCCACCAACGAAGGCCTTTGGATACCGTTTATGTTATCCATTAATAAGTGCAGGTATACATATGTCCCGGAACCTGTTCCTTGAAGCTTCTATATATTTTCTAACTCCTTCATTAGATTGTGTGGTGTTTCGAGAAACATATAAATTCTTAAGCCCGTTTTGCCACTGAAAGGGGATTGAATTATTTCATTCGGCATGTAGATGAATGTATGGGTGGATGTATACAATTACAAGCCAGCCTCCTTTCGATGTGGATTATCTTTTTCTTTAAATTAAAAGTCAATGCCCTTTGTCACGATCATACCCTGCAGGAATTAAGGTGCATGAGACAGGAATGATCGCAGCGATTCCAAAGCATTTCAAAATATGTCGTGGAAGGGTTCACGTGAGGACAGGTATCAAAGAAAGCGCGATTTTCGACGGATGAAGTCAAACTGCTCCTCAATGAAGTTTATGACGGGGAGAACATCATATTCGGACGATTTGCAATAAGCCTGGGAAGAAGTGACAAGTTTAAATGCTGTCTGCGAGCGAAAGAACAGCAGGCGAAATCAAGAAGGAATGCAGCAACGTGTCACCAGATGAGAAGAAGTTGAAGGCAAGTTATAACAAAAGGCACCAGACAGGAGGCAGAAGTCCCTCCGAAAATGACATTTCCGAAGAGGAAGATAAAGATGTAAGCAACCCAAGGGATGAGGATCGTCCATGGAATTGCCGGTGGAGTAGACATTGATCCTTTTGTGAGAAATGAAATCGATTGGGTATTTTCAACGGTTTTCTACAAGGAAATTCCCAGTATTGTATATTTTTGTGACGAATTTGGAGACGTTATAAACTTGTTTCATGTGACCCAATTGTTGAATCTTTCACCTGGATCAGAGGAGTTCAAAAAACTCATTTTTACTGCCCGACAGAGAATAAGACCTAAAATAAGGAACAGAATCAGGAGGGAAGAAAGCCAGCAGATGAGGGAAATCTTTGCTATAAAGTCCATTATCTCGTTCAGATCATAGCCTCTCTGGTATCGACACAACGGTAGCCCATAATTATGAAAGATTTCACAATTTCTTTCACATTCCAGGATGTTCAATGCAGCGGAGCGGGAACGGAGGTTTAATGGAGTGGCCAGCAAGTTCCCCCCTGACCTGACCGCATTCGACATTTTCCTTTAGGACCATCTAAAGAATAATGTTTGCGCCTGCAAATTCCCAGGTTGAGTGGCGTAATCTGAAGGCTGCAATTCAGCTACATGCATCTACCATCCCACAATATTTCTTCCGTAAGCTATTAGAAACTTTGGAAAGCGAATCCAAATGTGCTTCGCCCAAGGCGGACAGCAATTAGAAATTGTGATGTGACTGTATCATAAAGAAATTAAGAATAAACCCTACAAGTGCCAACAGTCGATAAATTCGACGTTGGTAGTCCACCATACTGTTTCTTGCACTTCTAGGATTAAATCCTTCTAGAAAATTTTCCATTGACTGTAAATTAAAAAGGCGACAGTGCACGATATGTCATCTGCTAAACTGGCAATCTGGATCCGAAGCAGCTTAAATGCAAGGCTAGGCAACATTCAATCACTTGCCCAGAAGGCCCAGGATTGCATACATCAATATTGCTAAAAATGGAGAATTGTAATGAACCTCACCTAGTCCACTGTACATTTAAGCAAGATTCTTCATCCCCCCAGTTTTCACTTGGTGGTAAATTCTTCCCCTATTCTTCTAATGTCAAATTCCTTGGTCTCCTTCCAAGGTGATTTTCATTCATTCGGCCAGTACTCACTTATGGTCATGCAGCCTGGGCTAACTGTTCTGATTCCACCTTTTTAAGAATACAGCCATCAGGTACGCACTGAGGCTGCCAGGCTATGTTTCTAAGTACATCTACCACCTCTATAAATATAGAGCCACTGCAGCAGTACGCCTCCAAACTTGTACTTAAATACTTTAAAAATCCTAAGCGCCTGGATGATATCCGCCATATCAGGGTAACCAGTAACAAGAAAATTAAGTTCAGAAAACATAAATGAGTAAGAACCTACCCTGTATTCAACTTAAATCGTAGAGGAGAGGATGGTTAGGATCCCCCCCCCCCTCCCCCTATCTCCCTGCCCCAGCAGCATTCTTAACCTACTTGCCTGCATTGTATCATAGGCTAAAAAAGTGTAGAATACCTTCTTCCAGGATTGAGTGTCGTACGACCTGTCCTGAACAGCAGAACCCGCACCTCAACACCCCGGATGACTACAAGCTCTAAGACCCATACCTCAAGCTAAGTCATTTTTCCACCACCCTCCCATAAATTTCCATTGAGTGACTGAAAGGAAAAGTCTAAGCAGAACTCAGTGTGCATAGTGGTATGCAAAACGTATAATACCCGCATAGCCCTCAGTCGACTTGGAGAAATTTGAGCACCGGGCCGTGTTTCCATACCTTTTTCTGAAGGTCTCACGTGCGAAAGATATCTAAGCTGATATGCTGCAGACGTAATTAAATGACGCACCGATGCACTCTGCCCACAGTTTGTAGTCCATCGGGATCAAGTCGGGGCTTCCAGATGGCGAAGCTGTTACCCTGATGAACTGGAGGACATTGTTGGTTAGCCATTCCTGCTTCGTCTTAGCCTAATGAGAAGGTGCAAAGTCTTGCTGGAAGATCCAGTTGCCCTCATTGAACATTGTTTGGCCGAGAGTCTTCACAGTCTTCCTGATACTCTTCGGCCGATTTCTTCACTCCTTGATCGCAAAAATGCGGCTTGGTGACTCCCTCACAGCTCATCCACCCACCAAGCCTTTAACGGAAGCAGGATGGTGACCTCTCTCCACCTCATGGATGACTTCGGCAGTTTCCCGAAAGTTGTGGGCATACATTTTGTCATTTTGTCTGTTCGAATTTTCTTCAAATGTGATTTTCTCATCAGTAAAGAGGACTTTTTGGTTTCTGTTTTGCGCGTACCTATGCAGCAACACTTTCGATCGCGATCTCCTGATTTCTTCCAGAGATGGAGTCAGCATGTGCTCTGTGCTTAGGTCTGATTTGATAAGCCGAGACATGCTCCTAGACGAGATGGCCATTTCCCTGGCCATCACGTTATGCTTGTGGAGAGAATTTCGCCGAATCCTGTTGCTGTTTTTGATGACTCGTG